TTTTTTAAGTTCAGATGCATTTTGGACAGTTATCTACTAGCTACAAGTAAATTGGATGTAGATTATCATTATTGGTGGTGGTGGCGGGAGGGGTCTTATGTTTATGTGCCTTTGAGGATTGGCAAGCACAATGAACTTTTACGAAAATACTAATCACAGATTTCAGTCGAATTAGATTTTTGATTTTTCAAATGAATTAACTCACAGTTAGTCAGTTTTTTTATTTGACTTTAAAATTGACTAGAACGCTGCGGGTTGCGAACGCGTACATTTTGTCAATGTCCTAAAAAGTGCGAGTATTGAGAAAAACTTTAAGCTCGAAACTCGAGACTGAAAATGCCCTGAATAGCTAAAGTCAGTGCTGTCACTCACGTGGTCCGTCGCATTGGGGACTTAGGAGTGTTGATAACATGAATGACTGCGCTGAGAGTTTAAACTGGCTTTCAAAAGAGTATGATTCCTGCGTGAAATATGAACCCGATCCGTGTTTTCTGAGCGAACAATGACTATAGCTGTATTACACATGTTGTCGTCCTAGCATCGCGGAAATGCGAGTGGGTTCCCTGAGTGCCCCAGGATGTGAATTGGGAACAGAAATGCAGAAAAATAGTCAACTTTTTTTTTTTACTTGATGCTTGGATAGTCATACTGCCAGTTACCCCGAAGCCACTCCCTACCCATAGTTCATTGCGACTCTTTGTCAGGCGGGAATTGAATTGACTACTACGATGAAGCCTTGAAATTGAATGTTAATGCACTATATATAAATTCGGATGCAAGTGTTCAACAATTAGATTACGAAATAAAATAGAAGATAGAATCCATCTATTGATAAGCGAATTGATGAAGTAAATGTTAAATTTGCCCCTGGGTTGGAGTGATGTAACAGATCGGGCAATATGCCAGCGACAATACAGCTATTTTGTACATCATAAAACAGTGAAATGGTACAAACCTGCACTCTTAACAACTATACGCCTATAATGTAGATGAATTGAGAAACAAACAACGCTACTAGTATTTAATACGCCAGTCATTGGAGATTCTCAACAGTGTGAAAATCCTCAAGTTCGAGATTCGAGATTTTACTATTTATCATTAAAAATGTAATATGAAAAGATGTGTTGAATTTGAAGAAAAAAATGGTGCGACTGAAGGATCTTTACTCCGGGCGAGCAACGGATACATTAATCCCAGTAAGTATAGTTACAACTGGGAATGTTTCGGATGCTATATCAATTCTCTGCCAACAGAATGGAGTATTAATTGTGTCTCTTCTACTGTCAGTCAGTCGAGCCAGAAAGGGTGGATAGTTTCGTTCAAATGATGACGATACGCATTAGGTAGGGTCAGGAGATACACATATCTTCGTTGTTCCCCGTGTATCGTCATCTATATTATATGGTAGAAGTGATCAGCGACATCATCGTTTTGTGCCGATGGCGGGAAAGAAAAAGCTTATCGTCTGCTTGTACGTACAGATAACATGACACCGCTGCCAAATTTCCAACCACGAATTAAGTTGGTATCTTGAAAATCCTCTAAAACACTACTGGAAGGTCTGTGAGGTGGTCTTTAAAGCTTTGGACTTTACCGGATTATTTCTGGATGATCGTAGCAGTGCACTCTGGGGCGAAATTTTAATAAATAAAGGCGAGTAGAAGTAAGTATGGGCCGACGAGATATGTTTCCCGCTTCACGAATAATACGGTTTCATAGTATCTAAATATGGCCTACGTTCGATCGTAAGGCGGACCATAATCAGCGCAATGTGGTAAGAATCAATGGCGAGATAAGACTGCCTGAGATTTCGTATTTGATGTTGTATGGCGAAAGTTAATTTGTCCGATTCAGGTCAGCCCTCTCGCGTCTCGGGTTGAAGTAGGAGGTTTAAGAAATATGGCATAGTCATTAAGGGTAATTCGATACCCATTCACGATCTAGTCATCAACAATTGGATTAAAGACGGGACCATTGCTCCCCTTTGTAGTGGGTAGGCTCGTGTCAATAACTGAGCGCCATTTATAGACTAGCAGCAGGTCGGTCTCCTCGCATACAAGTTGGGCGGTCAAAGGCTTTCGACAAACGATGGACTTGATCAGCGATGCCAGTCGGGGGAGCTCATTTGCTGAGAAAATAAGGTTGCCCGTATCGCTGGAGGGAACGGTGAAATTGGTTGGAGTGACCCATCCGCTCCATTGCACTTGGTCTATAGAGAAGAAGACATAGAACGGAATGGTCCCCATATTGCTAATGTATTCCGCCGCCTAGCTGTATATATAAGTTTGAGAGTGTTCAACTGCTGACCGACCTCATATAAAGCAGAAATCTACACTCATTGACAGGCGATGAGGGCAAAGACATTTTCTACAGCTGTTAGATTTCACGATATACTCAAGAGACACGGACTTCCCTTCTTTCTTGTTTTCTGTCGATGCTGTTCTTGTTATGAATATATGAGTAAACTCGTCCAACGGACAAAGGCACGTTGAAAATTAACATATAATCTTTTCGTCATCGACAGACGGTTATATACAATCTCATTAAATTTGCTACGTAAATCAAACAAACACTTGGATAATACATCATAATGGCTAATCGACTACGGATTCCTCTGCTTTTCATGATTGAACTTAAAAGAGGCGGCTACAGACTAACCCCCTTTTTTGTTCGACATTCACACAAACCTCTTTTGCATGCCGATATTTTTCAACGTGGTGGGCCACTTCCACTTCATTACCACCCCTTTCTCTACATAATACATAATACTGTCCGAAATAACCATTCTTTTTGTTACATTCTAAATGTTGACTTTTGTGGCCCATTCAAGACCGGTGTTCTAATAATGATGCTTTTAACTTGATTTCACCGATGGCTAAATCCGGTCTTTGTCTCCAAAACGGTTGTGTGCATGCTGACTCAAATATTTGCCCCACAACCCCGGCTCTCGACCGTATTCAGTGCACCCCACTTAGTCTGATCATGATGGGGGTAAAACCCCAACGCTTTGATGACTTAAGTCTGTGGACCGTATGTAAAACGGCTGGCGATACAATCGAGCATGGGCGAAACTCGTTTTCTTTGATTTTTAATTGGAATGATGTTGATTTGGTGATCGCCTGAAACCATCTGTTGGACTGTTGTTGGGTGTCCCGCTGCTATGCAGTTTTTTTGGGGGGGAGATGACACCAAATGGCATGGAAGGGTAAACAAAAACAACAAATGCAAGGACACGAGCCGTTCCGTAACATCAACAACATGCTGTGGTGCTTTAATACAAATGATGTTTGGATTCTCAGGCAATAAATTGACCTTAGTCGAAATTTTCTCTGGAAATTCGAGATGAGAAATTCACTGTGATACCTTGCGAACCTGAACGACTGTGTTATCGACAAGCGATGGCGGTTTACACAAGAATTAACCGTGAGGTTGTGAAGAGATTACACAAATTTCTACAGAGTCGTAAGTCCCGTATATGGGAGGGGTTTTTTTCGCTGGGATAATGTGGTCCAGTGGTTTTAGATAAGGAAAATGTTCGCTCTTTACGGGTCAATACCAATAGATAGAGCGAGCACGTCATCTCATTAATAATAGCCCTATAATTACCAGTGCGGTAAAACCACCAGAAGACGGATTTCAAAAACCGAGAACAAAAACACAAAATAACCGATTTTAAATTGCCGACAAGTCTTTGTCACATGCACCACGGGGCCGAAATGCGGTAAATAAAATAGAAAACAAAAACGGAACTGAGGATCATTCCCTAAATTGCTAAATAGAGAATGATGGATTGGCCGTTGATTGGCAGGTAAACAAGCACCCGTTTGATGGCTATACCCTCGTGTTGGTAGGACAGTGGTTACATTACATATGTCATATATATGACTAAACAAACGCCACTTGGCTGTTAGACGAAACGTTATCCCACTGATGGCTCCGACAAAATATGTTTGCCGCATATCGCTCAAGAGCTCTTTTTTTCTAGTCAATGGTCACGAACAGCTAGCGTGCGGCAATTTCAATCTATCGTTTGAAGTGTTTCATAATTTGACTTTATTTAGTCAGGTGTCGGTACATATGCATGAATATTCTGGTTTCTTGTATTATTATTATTATTATTATTATTATTATTATTATTATTATTATTATTATTATTA